GAGCTCTACATCTTCCCAAAAAAGTATAGAAATTACGTAGAAAACAAGAGCAAACTCTACAAATTTTAATTCTTCAAACAAAATGGCTGTTAAAATTCGTTTCAATAAAAAAATATTAAATAAAAAAAGCAAACGATTTTAATTTTCGGTGTTCTTTTCAAGAAAGGAGTTTTAACGAATTAAAAATCGAAAACTTGACACTTTCAATCGCTTTTAATCTGAAAAATTCAAATTAATTAAAAAATGAAGTATAATTTAATTTAATAAACTTTCAATTTTCGTCTGTATGTTCGCAAATGAGAGGATACCCTCGTCCGTTACTTCCGTCGACTATTAATGACATATGAATATATATGACCGATTGAAGTTATTTTAAACAATTAGTCTATCGTGTCATAGTGTACATTAAAACAAAGTATTTATATACGCGTCGAAACGATGGCTGAAAAATTAGAAATAGATGTAAATGATTAGGATAATCATGATCTCTGTTGATTAATAACAGTGATCAAATGTATTCATAATGCTGAATTTTTTTTCTTTAGGATGAAGTCGATATGGCAGAACGGTATACAAATTTCTACAAGAAGTTGATGGATTTGACGTTCAATCAAACTGTTCAACTCGATGCAGAAAAATTCAAGCAATTATCATTGGAATGCGGCATACCAATACCAAAGTGAACTAGTCAATTGATGGTTATCATAGATCTATTTTACTCATTCTCGTTCATTTTCTTGTTTATTCATAAAATCTTATTCTGTTATGACGATTGTTCATTTTTCATCAAAATAAAAATAACAAGCAGATTTCTTTATCTTGTTGTCGAATATCTTGATTTACCATAATATTATTCTCGAATTGATTACAATTTTAAATAATCTCTTATTTACTCGAAGAGTACATGTGAATAGTTGATTGCTCTGATTAAATTATCCAAAATCGTCAAGTTTTCATCTTGATTCAAATAGAATAACTCATAAAAACAATAAAAGCAAGCATTGCAACGATCACATTAGCTCATATGGTTGGTTTGTTTGCCGCACTGGCAATGTAAACGAATATGATTGAAGGAACACTTGTCTGATTTCGATATCAGTTTCCTTAATGGGTATTGACTATCAGTACTACTTAGTTATTTCCTTGATTCCTCGACTGAAATATTCTCAGCAGATTAATTCTTTCGTAAGATATGAAATATTCACTGGTAACTGAACTTGTGAACTGAGGTCGTTTGCATCCGCCGCTATTATATCTCAAAGAGTTTTGAAGTAATTGTTAGTTATATGAAAGTCGCTTCTCCTTGTCTCGAGGATTTTAGTTGGTTTTGCTGTTGTTTCAAGGAATTGAAAGAATTCCTAATTCTCAGTCCTTGGACAGGGCTGAATATCGTAGATTGTAGAAAATCATTTTCTCAACCAAAAAGCAGACTTAAGTTTGTTCGAACTATTGACAATAGACACAATGACGATCAGCCTTTTTAAATGCATTTGATGTGTCATGCTTGTATTTTCTTCTTTAAGTTGTGATGTAGCTTGTTTTATGTAGAGATTATATTAAGTTTTTTGTTCGTTTTTTGTCCTGATATTCTTGTTATTGGATTAGCTTTTCCTTTTCAAGATATAGATTTATTTCATTTTTCTGCTTGTTGATGTTAACCTGCATGATTTCGAACAACTTTGGCAAATATTCATTGTTTTTGATGTCGAAAACTCGACATTAGCTGATGTAACAACAGGAACAATAGCATTTAGAATTTCTATATATATACGATTAATAATAATATTTTGTACTTGTCAGTCAATATCAACTGTTTGATCTTGAACAGATATCTAAATAATTCTATGAAATAATATTTAATTTATACTTTTGTTAAACCAAATATACTCAACTAATGTTTCGTTTAGTTGATGAATCACATGGAAGTAAACAGATGACATCTATGTTATAAGGACGATTGGTTTTTTCCAATATCTATATTCAATTTGATATAGAATATCAATTAATTAATTAAGTCTTTATTATTTGACCAAAATAAATATTTCAATCTGACCGACAATATGATTATTGTCAATAAATAAATATAAATTATTATTTCAATTGTTTATTGTTTGAATAAGATTTATCAGTTGATTGACTCATTTTTTTTCATCTTATATTAGAAAATATATATTCAAATAAAATAATCTATCATCGATTATTGTCGACTAATATCCTTATATAATAAAAGAATAGTTAAAATAAATTGAGATTTTTTTATTGATTCGATCGAACGATTATTATCTTATTGAATTATTAAATGAGAATAAACTTAGAAGATTTAGGACAATCAATATAATTAGTGTCGTTAACAAAAAAAAAAAGAAGTTCTATCTTGAGTTGAGATGTGTGATGATTTGTTAAGAGGCTCATTCTAATACTTCTAAAATGGTTTCAAACTGACTGTTTAATCGTGAGGTTAATCATTTGTAAGTGTTATCAGTGTGAATAATATCTATTCTCTATTCGATTAATCTAGCAAATATCAATAATATGATTTAAATTGAAATATAAAACAAACAAAATATATCTAGCCATATGTTCTACTGATTAGTTAGAATTTTTTGTTTATTGAAAACAAAAAAAAAGATGATTTTATTCTTATTATTTGGTGTTGAGTTCGTTTTAAAATGAATGTTGAATAGCTGTGTTATATGATATAGAATGAAGTAATTGTTAGGATTTCTTGTAATATAATGTAAGAGGAATATATTAAGATAAATAAGTTGATTTATTGTTTGAATGTTGATCGTTTGATTGTCGAAGAATTTGTCAATAAATAATATGTAAAAGAATTTTTTTAATTTTTTAATTCGTGTCTATATGATGTTCAAATTGAAAACAAAGATAAAAACATATTTGATAAAACGATTATATTAAATAATAAAACGAAATTCATTAATTAAATTCGATAATAATCGTAATATATTGTTAAATAATATAAAATTATTTGAAAAATTTGATTTGGATATAATATAAATAAAATTGAATAGGATTACGAGTGTTGGAGATGATAAATGAGGTAAAATAGAAAAAAAAGAAAAAAGTTATTTTAAATTAATGATAGTCAATCATCTGTAATAGCCCAAATTTGTTGAAAAATGAATTAATTTAGAAAAATTTGATTTCCTTTATAAACTCTATGAAGAATATCTGTTTGTTTAAAATGCTTTGAGTTAAATATTTGAATAGCATTTCTATTTAATTGAGGTATTTATATTAACATCATTCCATAGCACTTCCAAGGTAGCCCAAATTTCGGTGTTTTTCAAGAAATTCCTGTGGGGGACCCCAGGTAGTCGGAAAAATCGTATTTTCGAACTTTGACCCGAAACTTTTCATATACAGAGGCCTCAACTAGACTAGCTTGCACAGCAAAATTCAGAAGTTTTGAATCAAGTCTCGTCAAGATATGAAGTTTTATCTTTGGAAAAGGACTTCTATGATAGGAGGTTCATATCTTGGAAAAACTTCGTTCAAAACTTCTGAATTTTGCTGTGCAAGCTAGTCTGGTTGAGGCCTCTGTATATGAAAAGTTTCGGGTCAAAGTTCGAAAATACGATTTTTCCGACTACCTGGGGTCTCCCACAGGAATTTCTTGAAAAACACCGAAACTTGGGCTACCTTGGAAGTGCTCTACCTCCCACAATTCTGAAAGGATAAGTCTGATATTTTAATCACTAGTAGTGTCCACTTAGGTCTATTCAGAAAAAAAAATTTCAAGAAATTCTGACGTGTAGTTTTTAAGAAAACATGGTCCCAATATATAAAAAAAAATCACTTGCCCCAAAAAAGAATATTGTTAAGTTATTTCCTATCTTGTGCTAATTTAGGATAAATTAGAATTCTTTTGATTTTTTCATTGCCCGATTTTTATCTATAGGTGGCGATAATGAGAAGTGCATCTGCTATTGATAGACCGAATGAAACGACTTTTTTCTGAGAGACAGTATACCAATCATTATTCATTGATGACCGAACTAAACTGTAGCAAAAGGTCACGATATTCACCGTCCAACCGTTTAACATTGTCATTGTTGATGACGTCGGGTATAATATAAGTTACAATGGATATAGACGTATATATAGATTGAAATTTACGACATTTCTCATTGAACATGAACTATTCAACAGTTAATATCCTTGGTCTATGCGATGAGATATTGCTTACCATTTTCAACAAACTCAACAAGATCGATGTATTATATTCTTTCATAGGAGTCAATCAAAAACTCGATAAATTGGCTCAGGATAGTACATTTACACGATCTGTTGATTTAGTAACAATATCATCGAATGAAGATAATGAGTCAAGAACTAATTCAATACTTGATCGATTTTGTTTTGATATAATACCTCGAATTCAATACAATATTGAATGTCTTACTGTTGGTCCATTGTCAACAGATCGAATTCTTCGCATTGGAAATTATCCTAAACTCAATAAACTTATTCTTGTTAATCTTTCACTTAAAATGGCATCTCGTATTTTAAATAGTATGTTATCTGTTTTCTCAATCTTTGAATAAAGAAACTCATTCGATTAATTTATTTATTGTTATATATTTAGATGGATCATCATTTATTCATATCTATAGGCATCAGATTTCACATCTTGTTGTAACGATTAATGATGATACTACAGCTATACGAATAAAAAATGTAGCCACAAATATTTTTGCTAACATTCTTGCTATGTTTACAAATTTGATTCATCTTGATTTTAACTTTGACGACAATTTTGTGTATCCACCAACATCATTTATTAAATTACTATCGACAACATGTCATTCATCAAGTATTGTTCATTTGAATGTTAGGGTGCGCAATTTTGATGATTGTCTTTGTTTACTTGATGGACGTCTTAGTCAATTACATACATTTATTGTCAAAATTGATAACATTGATGATTTATCAATGAGTATTCGTAAGAAGGTAAGGAATTTCGAATCATAACGAAAGAGCTTTGTTATTTCGATGTCTACCAGAATCGAATAATGAGAAATAGATTGTTGAGGGTGAGGGTGGTATTTTATTAAATGAGAAAATCCCCTAATCAGTGTTTTATCCAGAGGGGTGCTCGGGGGAGGGCGAAAAGTGAGTTCGCCGCCCCCCCCCCCCCGGGACTCGTGGTCATCGCGCTACGAACTATGTGTTTGCCCTCCCGGAAAGAAGTGTTCGCCCCTCGGAGTCTCAAAACGCCCCTCTGGAGAAAAAAAAACTGGATAAAACACTGCCTATAATATAAAACTATGTATTCATATACTTGATCGAGTTTTAATTTGATATGTGATGAATAAAGAGAAAACGATTGAAATAATACTATTGAGATATCTAATTATTCCTATTCTTGAATCCATAATCAATGCGATATCACTTAGTCTCTGTTAATTTAAATTTTTTTTGTAGAGAAATCTATCGAATCTAAAAATTTTCTCGCTATTTTCAACTGATCGAACGGATAAGTATGATATCGGAATTGTACCGCTTCTTAGTCAAATGTCACAATTGAAGAAACTTACATTATCTTTTATTGTTCTAAAGCGAATTTCATTTATTGATGGTACTCAGTTGTATAATGATATACTTTGTAAAATGCCACATTTGCATACATTTAACTGCAATATCATCACTAAAGATGTCAAAGATAATCAAGAATTACTACGATCTTCTGATGATATTAAGCGTACGTTCATTGAAAAAGGATATCATGTTGATTGTTATATCGATTGTTATTCACGAGAAATAAATCAATGTCATATTTACTCACTTCCGTTTACTATGGAGTATATGTTTAACGTTTCGAACAATTTCCCTGGTGGTCTATTTATGAGTGTTCGCAAACTGCAAGTATATGATTTCTTTCTTCCATTCGAACACGATTTCTTCGCTCGAATCTCTCAAGCTTTTCCATTACTCAATATATTGAACGTAATCAACATTCACGGACAAAAGAAGAAGTTGACACGCCAACAAGATGAACATAAACAAACATCTTCAATTATTGAGTATCCTCATCTTGTGTATCTCAGTCTCAATCGTGTACATATTGACTACATCAAACAATTTCTTTTTCAATCAAACACACGTCTACCATGTCTTAACAAATTATCCGCTCTATATGAAGATTTGAGAAATGCGACAGAGAATTTCACAAGTGATGCTGCGAGTGCCAACTGTGCAAAACTGAAACACATTATTCTTTATTCACAGCCAACGACATTTCCAGAAAACTTCCATGATTATTTTCCATCATTGATAAATAAATTGTTATTTTAATTCTATTTGTGGTATTTTGATTATTTATCAATAAAAAGAAAGCTATTGATTGTGTGAAAATGTTTTCGTAGAATATCTTACATACACATCACTATTAACCCTTTCGAGGCGATGTCGCCCATCGGTAGGCGACGCTATAATTCACAGTGGTCAGTCATCCATAAAAACAAAAAGTTCTTGGAAAATGTCTTCGTCTATCACACTTTGTGGAGCTATCTGCGCTGATCATTTTGATAAAAAAATATTCTAAGCTTGACCAATAAATGACGGTGCTATGGTCAAAATACTGAAAAATTTCAAGCTGCTCTATGTGCTGGAGCTATAAATTTTTTCAGTATTTTAATCATAGCATCGTCATTTATTGGTCAAATTTAGAATATTCTTTTATCAAAATGATCAGCGCAGATAGCTCCACAAAGTCTGATAGACGAAGACATTTTCCGAGAACTTTTTTTTTTAATGGATGACTACTCATGGAAGTACACTAGTTACATCCCTAACATTTTTGGAACTGCCCGTGATTCTATAGCTTATTATCACCCTATGAATTATCAGTTATACTCTTAAATTCCGTTTTTAACGGGCTTTCATTTGATATAAAAATCACTTGTATATATCTCTTTGCATTTGAGCTGTAATCTTTGGAAAAAAATTTTTGGAAACCCTGTAGAATCACATCGCCTCGAAAGGGTTAATTATGAATTATGATGAGTGAAATAGAGTAATTTTGTTGAATATATAGTTTAAAAGAAATCTGAAAAAATCTTGTGAGATGAACAAAAATTGTCGTTTTAGTGTAGTTTAAGGTGTTTTATATTGATCACCTTCATAAATGTATCACAAGTTGATTTTTTCAATTTTCTTTTTGGTCATGTTGGCAGATCAAAGCTGGAAAAATGATCACAATAAATTATAAATTGAAGAACTGACAAACAAAAAATACAAAGAACTAGAAGCTCAAAATAAAAATTATTTACAAGTGATAAACAATTACTGTAGGTCCATGTAGTAAACTATATTTTGACAAACTGTTGCATTACAATTGTTTTAATCTATGTTAATCTATTAAGAGGTTGTTGGATTTGAATAAAATTTTAATTTAATCATGACAAATATTTTACTTTTTGATTCTGTTCTAAATATAAATGAAAGGACGAGTGGCGTGAAGGGCACTTTTCGACCCACGATATTTTTAAGAAATAATTATATGAGTGTTACAAGATCGATATGGGCTAAAAATCTAGCACGGTGATTTTCCTTGAAATTACTTTCGGGTTTTTGACCCCTGTACCCCCCTACAGAGTTTCGGGAAAACTTTTTTCAAAATCCATTTTTAAAACACATCTAGTCGATCACGCTGATTACGAAAATCACTATTAAAACTATCGAAAATGCAACATAAAGATAAGATATTAGTATTATTGAAGCCGATTTTTGGGCAAAAAACTTGGTTTCGAGCCGTTCTCGACCATGGAAAGCTTGCCAAAGCTTTCAAACCAAC